AAGCTGTCTCCTTTGCTTCATTGTTCTCCACTGAATCATTCTGCCTTATTTGCTGGGAAATGTCTATGACTTTTTCGCCAGTCTTTCTTGTTCTCATTGGTGCTGTAGAGTCAATTCTAACTCATACTAACTCCGTGTGACACAGTAGAACTGCCCCATAGGTTTTTCTTGACTGTAATCTTTACAAAGGCAGATTACCAGGTCTTTCTCCTGTGGATTTGTAACCAATAGCAGGGTTAAACTGTTCTCCCTCTTCCCATCACCTCCTGGACCTTTGAGTTCTTGATAAGACATTTCTGTGTAACAACACAAAGTCATCTTAACTGCTTCTCTGCTCGAGACCACTTCACGACTCACCAACCGCACCCCCTCCATTCTGACATGAGCAATAAGCCACAAAGCTGGCCTTAGATAAACTTCATGCGTCATACCCCCCAGCCGTCATATCGCACCCCCACTGCACCCCCATACATGTTAATTAGTTCCTGAAATTGCCTGTCTAGTGTCAGAAACTTCATGAAATACGCATAAGTTCCCTAACCTGAACCCTATTAAAAAAAAGCCAAACCTACTGCCGTTGAGTCAATTCTGACTCATAGCGACCCTTTAGGATGGAATAGAACTGCCACGATAGAGTTTCCAAGGAGTGCCTTGTGGATTCGAACTATAGACCTTTTGGTTAGCAGCTGTAGCTCTTAACTACTACACCACCAGGGTTTCCTCCCGAACCCTATAACTGCCCTAAAATCCCCATCCTCAGAGAAGTTGATTTGAGGCTTAATCTCCAAGCTCCTTGCTTTACCAGCTTGCAATAAAGTCAACTTTCTCTTTCTCAAAGACCTGGTGTCTCTCAATTGACTTGAATGGTCACATCAGGCAGGACCCATTCCCATCCAGTTATAAATTCTGGCGACCCAGATGGGACCTTTATTCTGCTTCTAACTTTGGCTGCCCAGCTCCTGGGAGCACCTCCGGCCACTGGGCATGACCGCCTCACCTTAGAGCACACAGGCTTATTTCTCTGGGAGACTACAGTGGAACCGACCTTCACGGCCAGAGCTGTGCCCGGAACCATGCTGACCTGCTTTTTTTGAGACAGAGAAATGGACTCTGGGTAAGGATCCTAATTTGGTGAGTACTGTGCAAGTGGTGTCACAAGTACCTAAGGGCTTCTGAGGGGGTGAATGACTTAGGATCCTGGGGAGAACTCAAGAGAACTGCTGTTTTGTCAGAACCTGGGTGGTTGAGGGTCATACCAGTGAGAGCCCAAGAGAACTGCCATTTCTGTCAGAATCTCAGTGGGTGAAGGTTATGCCAGTGCAAGCCTAAGAGGATTGCTATTTCTGCAGAATCTGGGTGAGGGATGTTTATGCCAGTGTGAGCTCAAGAGAACTGCCGTTTCTATCAGAATCTGTTTCTACCAAAATCTGTGTTGTTGATGGTTATACTGCTCTGGTCATAAGAAACCCCTGTTGCACCTTGGCTGTTGTGATTCTAATACTCCTGGTTTTTCTGGTTTCTGATTTTGGCCTAGGCTCAAGTATGGGGAACACACTAAATATACCAGTGTGTAGCCCCTTAGGATGCATCCTAACTAATTGGGATTTTTTTTGGTTATGATCCTATGGAAAAAAAAAATAGGATGAAATTTTTCTGTGATATTGGGTAGCCACAATGTCAATTGGCTGATGAGGAACGTTAGCCTCAAAATTGTTCCCTAAGTTGTAATACTATTCTCCGGTTAGACTTGTTTTGCACCTGGGAAAGTAAATAGGATGATAAAATGTATGTTGATGACTTTATGTCCTTATAACAACAAAAACATTCAAAAGCAATGTAGAGTTATGGTTCAAACTGAGGTAAAGAGACAAAAGGTCTTTGATTCCCCAGGGGAGGATGATATTTCCCCTCTTCCTCCACTGTCAGCCCCAACATTGTATCTGCCAGAACTCTCTGGGCCAATTGAGACAATATCAGAAATGCTTTCCCTGCCACACACTTGAAGTGGTGTGACATTCGGATGGGGGATTTCTCTACCTGAAACAGGGCAAAAGGCAACAGGGTGTCCACTAAGACAACTTCCTACCAGGTGGGAGGAAAGTAGAACTCCAGGATTAGTCTGGGTACACATTCCATTCTCTACTTCTGATTTTTTCAGTTCGAAAAACAATCTCCTTCCTTATTGAGAGGACCAAAAACTATGGCAGATCTTTTCACTTCCATCTTTGCCACCTATTGCCCTACCTAGGCTGTTTGTCAGGCACTCTTAGATATTCTTTTGAGCTGGAGGAGCAGAGATTAATCTTAGGGAAAGCCAGGGAAAAAGCAGAACATCTCCATCAGCCCAACAACCCTATTCAACAAGCTCCTGATTTAGCAATACCTTCTTCTGAGCCTAGCTGGGACCCTAATAATCCTCTGGAGAATGGCAGGCTCAACCATTTTTGGATGTGTCTTGTTGCACGGTTGAAAGGAAGTGCTTCAAAACAGAAAAAATTAAATAAGGTCTATGAGGTCCATCAGGAACTGACTGAGGATCCATCTGCCTTCCTTGAAAGAGTTTTTGCCGCATTCTGACAATATACAGATGTATACCCAGAAAACCCAGAGAACACAAAAATGATAAACATGGTATTTATTGGACAAAGTGCACCAGACACTAGAAAAAAGTTACAAAAAGCCCAGGCGAGTCTAGGTATGAGCCTAGCACAATTAATTGAAATAGCCTTTAAAGTGTATACCAACAGAGACCAGGTCCAGGAAAAGAAAGAAACCCAGTATTCAAACAGCAAGCAGCTTTCCTCTCAGCTGCTCTGGTTTGGGGACCTTTAGAACCAGGCCAGCATAACCATCTGAAGGGTCAACTGCCCTGGGGATTGTCCGAATCCTCCTTCTCCTATGTTGAAATCAGTATGCTTATTGTAAACAGGAGGGTCACTGGTAGAAGGAATGTGTAAACCAGAAACCCAGCCAAAGCCCAGCTGTCCCTGAGATGCTTCAATCTGCCTAGCACAAAGATTCAGACTGAGAAGGACCAGGAGCATCTATCCACCTTCATCCATCTGAGCCCCTGGTTACATTAAAGGTGGGAAATAACTGAGTAGATTTTCTTGTTGATACAGAAACAACCTATTCTGTTTTGAATCACCTGAAAGGATCACTTTCTCCCCAAACTATGCAAGTAATTGGGGTAACAAAAAAGACTTCTACAAGCAGGGCTCATCTGCCAGCGTAAACCTGCTTTCAACACTCCGGTGCTCCTGGTAAAGAAGCCAAAAACAGGAACATATGGGTTTGTGCAGAACTTACACACAGTCAATCAGGTAACTGAAGACCTGCACCCTATAGTTCCAAACACTTATGACCTCCTAACCTCCCTGTCTCCAGACTATGCCTGATTTACTGTCCTAGACCTGAAGGATGCCTTCCTCTGCATTCTTTTAGCCCCTGAAACTCAGGAAATATTTGCCTTTCAATGGGAGGAACCCTATTCATGGGGAAAAACAATATTCCTGGACTGTCCTCCCTCAGGAGTTCAAAAATAGCCCCACCATGTTTGGAACAGCCCTGGCAAAGCTTCTCTGGGGTCTACAGATGTTTCGAGGTCTCCTTCTGCAATATGTAGATGATCTCCTTGTTGCTAGTCCTACCAAAGAGGACTCGGATAAAAACACAATTCTAACTTTGAACTTTCTAGCCCAGGCCAGTTTTCGAGTGTCTGCCACCAAGTTTCAGATTTCACAATGAAAGGTAATTTACCTAGGCTTCCAGATTTCTCAAGGTCAGCAGGCCTTGCTTCCAAAAGCAAGCAAGTGATCCTTCAGATCTCCTCCCTGACCACTTGGAGACAACTTCGAGGCTTTCTAGGTATGGCTGGTGTTTGCAGGATTTAGATCCTGAACTTTAAGTTAATAGCAAAGCCTCTCTATGAAGCCACCCTAGGAAAGGACACAGACCATTTCAAATGCACAGATGAGGGTAAACAAGCCTTCTTGAAAAACAAGGAAAAGCTAGCCTGTCCCAGCACTCAGACTCCCGGACCTCAGAAAGACCTTTGAACTGTATGTACATGAAAAGGGGGAAGTCGCAGCAGAGGTCTTAACTCAACAACTAGGTCCTTGAAAAAGACCAGTAGCATAGTTTTCTAAACTTCCAGATCCAGTCCCTCAGGGGTAGCCAACCTGTCTTAGAGCAGTAGCAGCAACTTGCCTTCTTTTAGCAGAAGCTGAAAAGTTTACCTTAGGTCAGCCTGTGACTGTGTTTGTGCCTCATGCAGTTCTCACCATACTGGAACAGAAAGGCAGGGTCTGGCTCACAGCAGGCTGAATGCCCCGCCACCAAGCCCAGTTCCTGGACTATCCAGAGGTCTTGCTCAAGGTAATTTATACCTTGAACCCAGCCAGCCTGTTGACAAACCCTGTCAATAAACCCTGCAGGTGAGCCAGCGCATGACGGCCTCCAAACTATTGAAGAAGTCTATTTCAATTGGCTGCACTTGTCTGACCAGCTCATTTCAAATCCAGATGTAACCCTTTATAACTTCGAAAAACATCCCCAAATTACACTGTTAGAGATCTCAAACAAACAGCTGAATGGAGAGCAACAATAGATTTTCATAAATGGCCCTTGTAAAACAGAGAAAATATAAGAAGCTACAAAATGGCTCCTTAATAAAATCATTCCCAGATTCAGCCTGCCTACAATGATTGAAAGTGACAACGGATCTCACTTTACTTCACAAATTAAACAAAAATGCTTTAAAAATTAAAGAATCAGTTGGAACTTACATTCAGCTTGGAGACTACAGTCAAGTGGAATAGTTGAAAAGATAAATCACATGCAAAAAACCAAACTGCCAAAATCTGTCAAGGGACGAAAATAACCTGGCCCCAAGCTTTGCCCTTAGCCCTTTTGTGAGTACAGATTACCCCCAGAAGTGGGCTCAAATTGAACCTTTTTTGAAATCATGTATGGAAAACCGTTTCTTAAAAATTACTTGCCTTCAACCGATACTCAGGTTTCTGCCACTGGGGAGCTTGCTCTCTGAAAATATTTGTTGTCTCTGTCTGATGGCCTATCTTATATTCACAGGCATGCTCTCAGCTATCTGAAATATTCTGTTGATGCCCAGCTTCACCTATTCTAGCCTGGTGACCAAGCTCTGCTGAAAACCTGGAAAACGGGACCCCTTGAACCCCTGTGGACTGGACTGTACACTGTTCTTTAGCCACTCACTTGGCAGCTAAACTCAAAAACATCAAAGTTTCAGTGCATCACACTCGCCTCAAACCTGCACCGGAAGATCCTCTGCAACAAGAACAACGTCAGATCCTCTGCAACAAGAACAACGTCAACATAAAAAATGGACTTGTGAGTCTGTGCAGGACTTAAAATATCTGTTTACAAAGGAAAACAAAGCTAATGCCTAACCTGTGCCCCTTCAACTGGGAGACCCTCCATCATGATTGTGCTCTTAATGTTTACATGGCCTTTACTGCCTTGGCAATCATTGTGTTCTTCCTTCTCTTTTACAGCAGGGAAAAGCTCCATCTGATTGGTGGTCACAGAGAACTTCCCCGTTTCCCAATTTCCACTGGCTCTGGCTCATTGTTACTCTGCTGATCATTCTTTTACTAAGCTGTCTTTTTTGCCCTGACACTTTCACTGTCTTATCAGGTCAATTCAAACTCACCTAACAGCTGTGAACATCATGATGCTTCAGGCATCCAACTGGGTTCCCCTTCACTTAACAAACCTCAGATCCTACAGTGCACATTCTTATACTGGTCAGCAAGCTCAAAAGTTCCGGAGGTCTGGACCAGCACTTACATAAAGACCTAGCTTCAAGATTGAAGACCCTGAAAACCAGAGGAGGGAATGTAACTGATAGGGTTAAACTGTTCCCCCTTCTCACATCACTGCCCCCTGGACCTGTGAGTTGCTGATAAGGCATTTCTGTGTAACAACACAAAGTCATCTTAACTGCTTCTCTGCTCAAGTCTGCTTCACTACTCATCAACTGCCACCCTCCATTTGGACATGAGTGATAAGCTCAAAAACTGGCCTTAGATAAACTTCATTTATCATATTCTCAGCTGTCATATTGCACCCCCACTGCATCCCATACATGTTAATTAGTTCCTGAAATTGCCCACCTAGTCCCAGACTTCGTGAATTGTGCACAAGTTCCCTATCCTGAACCCTATAACTGCCCTAAAATCCCCAACCTTGCGGAGGTTGATTTGAGACTTAGTCTCCAAGCTCCTTGCATGACCTGTTTTCAATAAAGTCCGCTTTGTCTTTCTCAAAGACCTGGTGTCTCTTAATTGACTCAAGGGATTGCACCAGGCAGGACCCATTCCCATCCAGTTACAGAGTTGCTGGGTGGGTTCCAACCACCAGCTTTTCAGTTATCAGCCAAGTGCTTCACCATTGCACAACCAGGACTCCTTGTTTGGTCTAGTAAATAGTAATTTACATTTCTGACCTTTAGGTGAAGCAAACTTCAAGGAAATCAAGAGACCCCCACTGAACACATATATTCAATGACAAAAAACAAAGATTTTTTTTTTTTTAATGTTCGTTACATTAAAAATGGCTTGCATTTCAGGGAACTCAAACTTTGCTTTCGTGTAATAGTTAGATGTCATATATTATCATAAACATCAATTTTCTGGCAAATATTTTCCCATTTTTTCTAAGAAGTCAATGGTTCTTCATATCCACGGTCTAAAGTCATTTTGGAGAGCATCTTGGATTTACTGTTGTCACTCCGAGGCAGGAAAAGCATGCTGTAGAAAACATAAAGTATATTAGTTCTTCAGACCTCACTCAGATTGAATTTAATATATATACTTACTTTAATGCCATTTCCTCAAAACTTTGTATACAGAACTCTTAGTTACTTCAAGACTAATACAGCACACTATTAAGCTCTTCACATAATTACTCTTTCTCAGCCTAATATTCATTCACTTTTCTATAAGAAATTTTTACATAATTCAAAACCATTTAATTCAGTTACTTCAGACCATGATTATGGTAGGGGGATGTCTTATATGGTTTGATTCAACAATATATTTTTATATCTTTTAGGGAGAAAGAGAATTTTAAGGTTACAAGAAGTGAAAATTGGAGAATATGACATTTGTTGTGTGCTATTGAGTCGACTCCGACTCATAGCAACCCTATAGGATGGAGTAGATCTGCCCTACAGTGTTTCCTAGGCTGTAATCTTTTCAGGAGCACATTGTCAGGTCTATTCTCCCAAGGAACTTCTGGTGGACTCAACCAACCAACCTTTCATTTAGCACCAGAGTGCATAACCATTGCACCAAAAGGGCTCCTACTAGGACACTTACTGAATCACGTATGCAAATGCACTTTACCAAGTCAAGACTGTTAAAGAGACTTGTGGCTGGGCAGAAAGTGTTTCTGACTAGAAAGGTGGCAACCCGTATTCCAGTGACCTGAACACAGGCACAAAGTCATGGTGTCATCAAAACCCTTCCCAAGTGTATATTATGACCAGACAATGGTTCCTTCTGCCACTCTTGTTGACATAGTTCAACATAGCCCCGAAGTTAAGGTACATGAGGCAAAATTCAATGAGGCCAGCCGGCATACTCACCCTTGGGATATTAGAGCAAGACTGTTTCCACCAAAGCACAGTAGCAAGCACAGAGAGACAGAACTCCAGCACAGTAAAAATCAGCATCATAGACAACACTCCCTGAAATTTAGGAAGTAAAAGTGGTTCTTAAGGCAACCAAGCTTCATGACTTGTTGGGAGATGACTGCAGTGATAAAGGCTGCCTCATCCATGAAAGTGAAGTGAGAACACCATAAGGAAGAGAAAATTGCTCACTTAACAACTGGCTCAAGTCAATAAGTAATTTGCTCATTGATCTCCTTTTTTTTTTTCAATCTTTTTTTTTTATTGTACTTCAGGTAAAGGTTTACAGAAGAAAAAGTTTCTCATTAAACAGTCAGTACACATATTATTTTATGACATTGGTTAACAACCCCATGACATGTAAACCCTCGCCCTTCTTGCTTCTTGACCTTTTTTTTTTGTGAAAATATACATAGCCAAAGATACACCGTTTCAAAAATTTCTACACCCACAGTTCAGTGACATTGACTGCACTTTTCCAGGTGTGCCGCTATTCTCACCTTAGATGAAGGTTTACAGAACAAAATAGTTTCTCATTAAACAGTTAGTATACATGCTGCCCTATGACAATGGTTAACAACCCCACTACATGTCAACACTGTCCTTACTCAACCTTGGGTTCCCTATCACCAGCTTTCCTATCCCCTTCTGGCTTCTAGTCCTTGTCCCTGGACTGCTGTGCTTCATTAATCCTGTTTTGTTTTATGGGGCAGTCCAATCCCCGGCTGAATGGTGAACCTCAGACGTGACTTCACCACTGAGCTAAAAGGGTGTCTGGGGGCCATACTCTCAGGGTTTCTCCAGTTTCTTTTAGGCCAGTAAACCTGGTCTTTTTTTGTGTGTGTTAGAATTTTGTTCTACATCCTTCTCCAGCTCTGTCCAGAACCCTCCGTTGTGATCCCAGTCAGAGCAGTCAGTGGTGGTAGCTGGTCACCATACAGCTGTACTGGACTGGACTCAGTCTGATGGAGGCCTTGGTGGCTGTGGTCGATTAGTCCTTTGGACTAATCTTTTTCTTGTATCCTGTTCTCTTCATTCTCCCTTGCTCCCGAACGGATGAGACCAGTGGAGTATCTTAGATAGCTGCTCACAGGCTTTTAAGACCCCAGATGCTACTCACCAAGGTAGAATATAGAACATTGTCTTTATGAATTGTGTTATGCCAATTGAGCTAGATGTTCCCCGAGACCATGGTCCCCACAGCCCTCTGTCCAGCAGTTCAGTCCCTCAGGGAGTTTGGATATGTCTATGGAGCTTCCATGACCTTTCCTTGTACAAGTTGTGCTGGTTTCCCCAGTATTGTGTACTGTCTCACCCTTCACCAAAGACACCACTTATCTATTGCCTATTTAGTATTTCCCCCCACCCCTCCCATCCCTTGTCACCAACAAAGATTGTTACTTTTTGTGTAAACTTTTTCATGTGTTTTTACAATAGAGGTCTCATACAATATTTGTCCTTTTGTGATTGACTTATTTCACTCAGCATAATGTCCTCCAGTTTCTTCCATGTTATGAGATGCTTCACAGATTCATCATTGTTCATTGATCTTCTTGAGAGGAAGGGTAGGGTATAGTAATTAAGTCAATCATAGCTGGATTCAGAGTTTTAGACTCAGGCGCCCCAAAAACCACCAGACCTGTTGTCATCAATCCTACTCCAACTCATGGTGACTCCATGTGTTACAGAGAAGACTGAGCTCCATGTGGTTTTCTTGGCTGTAAGCTTTATGGAACCTTCTGTGGTGCCACTAGGTAGGTTCAAATCACCAACCTTTCAGTTAGAAATCGAGCTCAAACCATTTGTATTACTCAAGGACTTACAGATTCAGGCCCAGGGACGGTGTAATGTGTGGGACGTAGCCTGAGGTAAAAGAAAAGTCTGACCTGGATGTCAGAAAACTGAGATCACAGGGTTACCTTTGCCTCTGGCTCCTTCAGTTTCTTTGAGTTCTCAGTTCTGCAGTTTCATTTCCTACTCTGGGCCTACATTTATAAAGTTAGGGGAATAAACAAAGTGATCTCAGAAGTGGTTTCCCTTTTACCTCAACTCACAGAAGAAGGGGATTGATCTAAGATCATTCTGAAAACAGTAGTTATAGGTATGTGGACTCTAGAGGACTGCCAACAGCCATATGTTAGAGTACTGCTTAATTTCATCTAGTCCCCCCTTTTTTTAGGGACTCAACAGTTGGAGCTTTGGGGCACAGTGGAAACAGGTAGGGAATCTTTTTTCTCCAAACCACAATTTTCCCAAAATAATGACCAAAGTCCATGTTCCTGGATCTTCTGATAGCCGGCCACAGTAGTAATTCCTTGAGTATATATTTCTTAGAATAAATTAGTTTGTTCTGGGACAGTGCTTTTCTTCAATTTCAAAAAGGGAGAGCATAATATATGACGGAAATAAAATTCACTGCAGGCTATGTGACTCTGGTGAGCCTGATCCCACCCAGTGGCTCCAGCCTACATCCTTGAGCTTGCTGCCAGGTTTGCTGTGAAACTGTTCTTCTGTGGAGGTAAGAGCACCACGTTTCCCACTGAAAGCATTGAGACGTTATTCTTGTATTGCTCTATTCAGTAAGGTAGTCACGAGCCACATGAAACAACTTATATTTAAAGTAGCATTAACTAAAAAAAAATTCAGTTTCTCAATAACACTAGCTGCACAATTTCTTAATAGTTACATGTGGCTACTGTATTAAGCAACAAAGATATAGTGTAGTTCTATCATCTCAGAAAGTTCTGTTAGATAGTCCTTGTCTAATGGTTTGAGGTCAAGGTGGGTGTTCTGAATAATATTTTCTAAATCATGATGAAAGACAGAGAGATATTGCCATCGACATGACTATTCCCTAAAATTTACTTGCTGTTTTCAGGAGATTTTTGCAACAATAGTCACTATAGTATCGCATTATGTGGCACTCCCACATGTGGCCCCCAACTTCAAGCCACAGGCAGGATATTGGGTAGAGTGAAGACTTAGCAAATCTTTACAGATTAGAAAAATCTTCTCCCTATAACCCAACTTTCCTCTCCCTGCCTCTCCCATTTCTGGTTTTCCCTGGAAGGAATAAAAGGAGGGTAAACTTGCACTCTTAACCAATACAAATAGCTAGTGATAATAGCTAGGACTCCAGAGTTTATCCTCAACCCCACAGAAGTACTAGTTTTCAGGTCAAGTAGCAGGAATGATGGGATATGAGTCCTCACACAGTCACTTGACTGGATTATTTTAAAGTGATAATATCTGACAAATACATTTAAACAGTAAACTCACAACATGGAGACCATCAACTTTTTATAACATTGTCAGCTCCTTTGGCATTGAAGATCTAAATTTGAAGACCAGTTACCACCAGAAGGGCATTATGAGGAGGCAGAACTTTTCTAGAATAGGTTCCTAGGCACTAGCCTAGGATATAATTCAATACCCTGAAGGCAGGCAGTGATTTGGGGCACAGTGGTTGGAGATATGTGGTCTGGACAGGGATATAGAAGATCCAGCCTCAACTCTTAACTCTGCCAAATAGCTGCTCTGGGTCTCAGTTTCCAACTCTGCGAATGGCAAGATTGCCCTTGAAGCATTCTCGCTAAGTTTCATTTGGCTCCATAGAGCTGTGAGTTGTAGTTCTCATATTCACCAAAGGCTTAATTGAGTTTTTCTCTGGGATGATTGATAGAGATCCAGAGATGACAAACTACCCAAAAAAGAGAGAAAAAGGTCAGGTCAGTTTGTATGTGTAGATGTGGCAACAGTATTACTATCATGGTATTTATAGAAAACTACTATGGGGAAAGCCCTGATGAACCAAGGAACAATGATGCAAGAGCCATTTGAATACATATGTCCTTGTACTCATATAGCATTCAGAAAAGCAAATGAAAAGCAAGTTATGATTAACACTCTATCCCAATAAACAAAATTAGGACATTAAAAGCCAGGAAAGAAATATTTTTTACATGAAAGAAGAAAGTTCTGAAGTCAGGAGTTATCTAGAGAAGGACGTGAGACCAATGGTATGGAAAAAGAAAAGAAAGGGGACAGCTAACGAATATGGGAAGACAGAAGCAGATCTCAAGCTGGTAGTTCCACAGGCTAGGGCAGATTTGTAAG